AGGTGAAGAGCTTACTAGAGGTCTTCTATGAACAGTGCCTTGGGATGACATATGTTGCAACTAAAGTTGAATTTTTTTCTAGCAAAACAAATTCTGCCATCTCTGATATTAACCAGTCAGTGGCCAACAGTTTTTTTTGTTTGTTTGTTTGTTTTTTCTGCTGTTTTCTGTTGCATTAAGTTAGGCACAGCTATTGGAGCCAGAGCCAATATATAGTAGCTGTGGATATCAGTTATCACAGACCTTATTCCATACAGTCTGGCAGCTTGGACCATATGCCTTGGACTAATTGCAATTAATATTCCGGCTCTTGTGATTTAAAAATTGTCTGTCTTTTAAACGGCAATCTCAAATCATCTCTAACTGCAATATTCACAAATATATGTGATATGTGTTATATAGCATAGTTATGACTAATTGATCTCAGCAGTCGTTGCTGTTTCCATATTTAACAGTTTTGTTTTGTTTTTTTAATTCTGTCTCATTCAATTTGAGTAATGGTTTATTAGATGACAGATTAGTGTTTTTCATATTGGCTGCTCAAGGCTATTCTCCATACACTTCAAGTCTGTCCCAGAATTAGTTTCACTTTCTATCAAAGTCATTGTGACCTTTTTGCTACATATTTGTCTCCATTTCCTCTGTGTTCTGTGTAACACACTCTACACACTTAATGTTGAAACTCACTGGAACTGCCTTGTTTATCTTTAACATCTGGTGACATGTTGGTGAGTTGTGTTCACTGAGCAGCGGGAGAGTTGTGCTTTTTTTTACAGACCACTTGTCGTTAGTCAATCAGAAGCCTGCAGCTGACCTGTTTGTCCAACCAGAAGCAGTGGCTGCATTTCACTGTAGACTCCTCTGCAAAAGACACATTTATAGATGATCCCTGAGCAGCCAGTCATGCCCTGCCAGACAGTCTCTCTCACACACAGACACATGCATACATGTTGTGGGAATTCAGGATAAGCCGAACATATTCACAATCACTGGTTTTAAAATTGTTCCATGACATAGACAACATATCTTTATCTGTCTTGTGGACAAACTGAACTGAATCACCTCCTGAAATGACCTGTGCTGACTTAAACTCATTCACTGAGTCAATAATTAATTTGCAGCGACCTGTAGCAGCTCAGACTGCAAGTTCAAGAGTAAAGCCAAACTGTACAGTTAAAAAGATTTTAAAAACAAAATCAAACAAAAATGAAAACGCCTGTTTTTAGCTCCGATATTTAATGAGGATACTTCTAAAATATCTGGGTTGGTGACCGATGGGTCATGAAGAACATGTACTGCTCAGCCATGTAGTGGGTAGAATACACAGATGAAGATGTGGTCATGAACTTAACAATTTGGTTAAATTCATTTTTTTTTAAACTATTTTTTCTGGCCTTTTTGCCATTATTAGTTAGGACAGTGAGAGAGTGAGACAGGAAAGTGGGGAGGACCTGCAGCAAACTGTCGTGAGTTGGAGCTGAACTCACGACCGTTGCGTCAGAGAACTACTGCCCCTGTTCACAGGTCACCCGCTCAACCAGGTGAGCTGTAGGGACGCCCTGGTTAAAGTAATCGTTTGAACCAATCTTTTTTTTTTTTGATCTAATGAGATTGAGATTCAGGGCAGAGCTGCACTGTTTCTTTCACTGGTCTTAAGAAACCAGTGAAAGCCAGAAGATCCCCAGTTCATGACGCCTGGGATCTTTCTGTGTGGAGTCTCCATGTTCTCCCTGTGTAGCGTGGGTTCTCTCCGGGTTCTCTGGCTTCCTCCTGCAGACCAAAAACATATTGAGGTTCTTTGGTGATTCTAAATTGTCTGTAGGTGTGAATGTGAGTGTGCTTGGTTGTCTGTCTCTAAGTGTAGCCCTGTGATAGACTGGTGACCTGTCCAGGGTGTTCCCTGCCTTCATCCTGAGTCAGCTGGGATAGACTCCAGCCCCCCATGACCTCAGTGAGGATTAAGCAGTGTATAGAAAATGGATGGATGGATGGATAATATCGGGGCATTATGGCAACATATTCTAAATGCAAATTAATTGTATGTGAACATCATTTTTTGGGTTGGATTCAACACACAATCTGTTGTGATTGTTTCAGACACTGTTTGATGATTCAGATAATTGTCCATTTACTGTTTTGGCTGTTTATCAAATGTCATATTGTCACCAACTGCAAACAAAAGACTTGTTTGGAAAAACCAAGTGTAACTTAAAACCTTCAAGTGTTTTTAAAAAAAAAAAAAAAAACTCAATTCCCGTTTTTTTTTTTTCTTTGGTCATTCTGATGTCTACTGTACATGCACAAAATGCTGCTCTTAGTCATTTGTGATAGAGAAGCAGATGCAACACGTGACACAAGCCAGCTTACACACAAATACACACACAAGCAAGGCACAAGAGAGCCATAGGATCCAGAGCTGCAACACATAAGACTGAAGCCCCAAAGGAGCTGAGAATTCTGAATGCGGTAAAAGGAAATGAAGTGAGGACTGTGAGCTGATGCAAGCAGACAGCTTGCAGTGCAGTTGTGTTTTGATAAGCTAGTGCATCAGCATACTTAGAGATGTCATCACTAACTGGACAGTTTGGTGAGCTGATCAAACAAGAGCAATTTCTACTCCTGTCTTATTTCTTAACGATTGTCAGACGGCTCTATATGACTTTAACTTTATACTTTTTGGAGTTTCATAATTTTACAATCACGATTCGACTTTGACAGTTTGATTGTTTGACACAGTTGCAAGAGGAGCCAGTCCTGAAAATACATTACAAATCATTTGTATCTGAAGCACTTAAAGATGATTTTCTTTACAGAGGAATGTTTTTTAATAGCTTTGTAAATCCCTTGTTAGACTTATAGGCATCCACAACCTGTCTTTTTGTTTGTTTGTTTGTTGTTGTTGTTGTTTTTCGTGAAGGCTTTAAAAAGATTTTAGCAGAATCCTACCACACACTTCAGTAGTAAAGACAACACAAAGTTAAATGCCAGAGGTTTGAATGAGAGTAATGTCTGGAGATGTTGTTAAATAGAAGTTGATGGGGCAAAAAGGACATGTTCATCATGAACTGATGACTGAAATGGCAGATGAAGCTGTCAACTTGGGAGTGTAGTTGTACATAATAAACAATCTTTTTTCTTGTTGGTGATCCAAATCAAAAATGAAAACATTTTACTGACATCCTGTGGTGTCATCTTGAATTACCTTCTCTTAAAGGTGTTCATCTTATTGGGCTGTGATGTGCAAAAGGGTCCAGTTCGGGGACCAAACCTCAGACCTTGTGGTTAACTTATTATGATCCATTGTATGGTAACCTATGCCTTCTTTGTTTTTCAGTCAACATGACCCCAGTGGACCAGCTGGACCAACAGTAAACCCAATCCAGCTGGAAGAGCCTACACCAGTACACTTTGATCTGCAGTAAGTGACCTTTAACCAGAACCAGAACCTACCAGCAGTAATACATGTCAGCCACATTTATTCACACCTACCACTGCTAATTCAACAGTTCAGCAAATCCTCTGTTTACTCTGCAAACAGGGAATAGTTTCTAAATTTAAAAAAAACAAAACAAACAAAAAACAAACAATGCTAGTGTAAAAAACTGGCTCATTTTCTATTCTGCAAAGCACCTTATAGCATTAAAGCCAAATATATTGTTTGCAAATATGTAGTTTGTCATAGTAAGTAAAGCAAGAACTGCAGAAGACATTTTAGGCAGGATGGTAAACCGTAACACAGATTTAAAGGGGCTTAAAGGTTTAAAAACAACAACAACAACAACAACAAAAGACTGAAATATTTTAATTATGACAATGAAGATGAAGATGATGATTTTAACCCAAAATAAGAAACTTCAGTGAGATTCTCATTTAGAGTCAATAGCTTAATGAAGTCAAGTACATACTGACATCAATATAATACACTCATGTACAATTTAATACATTATGCTTCTTATGATCAAATATATGATTTAATTGTGGCATCCGCACAGATTTACATGACATTCACTAGAGTTAAGAAAATAGAAGACAAGTAGTTGGGCTGCACCCTCTTATTCATAGAGTATTACTCTCTGTCAGTTGACTCCCCACAGTCCCACTAGAGAGCAGGAAGTACAAGTTTAGCGTCACTGTCTTCCTTTCTCCAGACATTGGGATTGAACACTGCTGCTGTTAATGTACAGCCAAAAAAGAGACCATTACCGTTACTATGGTTACATTTATTTATTTATTTATTTTAGTTTTGTGCTTCTGCTGGCAGCATTTATTCATTTTAAATAGTGTTTCTCACATGGAGAATACAGAATAATTTAACATTCAACAGTTTATTTCAGTTTTATTTGGATGGCGCCAAATCACAACATAAGTCTTTGGCAACAGTAAAAAGAAAAAAACACTCCCACTTAACAGGAAGAAACTTCCAGCAGAATGAGGCTAAGGGAGGGCAGTCATCTTACTTGAGGGTAAGGGGACAGAGCAGGGATTCTTTGTTTCTCTACTGTGACAGCAAAGACAATGCACAAACTTTCAGTAGCTTTATGCTCATTGAGGAACATTACACTGACCAAGGCAACATATTAGCCCTTGCAGTGTTTCTGGTTTCTAGGACTGCACCCACATGTGGTACTTCTCTCACACATCAGGAGAGACTAATTTCCCGCTACAAACCAAGAGGTGTGCGGCATCTTTCTTCAAACAGGCGTGTATTCAAGCTGTAGGTGTGCTAACCTCACTTAATCAAGTCCAGTAATCAAGTCATGTTAACACAGCTGTCTATCAAGAGATTTTAGAGCCCTTCATGCTTCCATCGGCTAACAAGCTTTATGGAGATGCCAGTTTCCTTTCCCAGCAGGACTTAGCATCTGCCCACAGAGCAAGTGTCAGCTGACCATTGCAGGTCCCTGAAATTGATATTGGTTAATTCAGTGGCACACGTTGGCACTGAAGAGACGGAGGCAATCTTAAATGCAGGAACATGAACAGTAGAGGTGACAGTGGCCCTTTCAAATACAGGAACAGACAAGGTTCTGGCAACCCTCTCATATGTAGAAAGAGGAAGAGATGAAAAGTCAGCCAGGATACATAACAGGTCGACCAGAATCTCCCCAGTGCTCAGCTGTGGGACATCTACTGACATTGGTGGCGCGAGAGAGCGGCAGGATCTGGGAGCTCGGGAGAGGTGCAGTCTGGGAGCTGGGGAGCGGGCGGCCGATGCTGACAGGAACCACGCTTCCTTCTGGAAGTGTTTCCAGTAGGTGGCTCCTGGGGATCTTGGGCGACAAAATCAGATGGGAAACTGGCTGTTTTAGTGGGAAAATTGACTGGAACCTAACTTTACAGAGGCTTGCTGATTCTGGAGCTGACTGGAGATTATCAAACTGGTGGCTGGGTGACTCTGGAGCTGGCAAGACTTTCGGAGTCTGGGGGCTGTCCAGTCCTAGTGCTAAGTCAGATTATCTGAGCCACCTGTGGCGCTTGCTGGAGGATGGTTGACTCAGCTAAACTAGGTTTGAGGTGTGTGGGAGGAATCCAGCATGGTCCACATGTTAATCTTAAGCTTGTCCATTTCAGACAAAAGTGCAGCCACACCAGGATCTCTAGTATCAGATAGTGATGGTTCTCAGCTTGCCCATAATGTCTGTGCGGCCATTATTACAAAAAACAAAAATGTCCACTGCTGCTCTCACCTCAATAAGATCCTCTGATGAGTAGATAGTGTTTGCTGGGTCTATATTTTGTGGTCAGCTAGCAGGATCCAGGGCTCTCAGCAACAGACCCAAATACAGGCACGTTGTGGAAAAGACTAAACTTTTTTTAAAGACTCTAAAAACTGAAAAAGTGTGTGAACTGTGGAATCAGAGCTAAGTTTACATGTGACCATAGAGATGTTGACAGATGCAAAATGCCATATTGCCACCCCTGCGGTTGTCCTCTGTTGTAGCCACAGAGAGGGATGCAAAACCTGTCAGGTTTTACAAAGAGATCAATGTGTTCATGAAAAGACGGTCTCCAGGTTTAATAGAGTAATACTGTGTTAATCAGATTGCTGTGCCAAAAGATTATAGATCTGCGGTGTTGTGCCTTGCACATGATGCTAGTTTGTATGTCATGTGCTGCGTAATTTCTTTTGGACAGGATTAAAAGCTGATGTACTGAACTACTGCCCCTCCTGCCACACATGTCAAATTGGGGGAAAACCCAATAATTCTGTTCTGTCGGCCTCCTTGCATTCCCTTCCAGGACCAACCCTAACCTTAATACTAACAAAATACAGAAATGACTACTTGTTAACCATAAGGTGTGCTGCTATGAAACATCCGAATCCCCCTACGCATCCTGAAAGACAGAACAGTGGTGACCAGATTGTTTTCCAACCTTGTATAGTAAGGGTTAGATGTTTGATGTTTTGTCTTAAGCACGGCATTTTGATATATTTTGGAGGTATTTGAAAGCACTGTCAATACCCTAAGTCCCAAGGTGCTCTAGAACAATGCCATCAAACTTTAAATGTTAAGAAAGTGTTGCCTTAAGTCTGGTTAGTGGGACAATGGGATGGGGTCTTCCTCTTTTGTTGTTTTCCATGAGAGAAANCGGCCTCAACAGAAGTTTTAAAACCATTTCTATGTAGCTTTGGCTGTTTGGTTTGGCTCACGGCCTTACTGGAAAACAAATCCTCCCAAGTTGCAATTCTCTTGCAGACTGCATCAGGTTGTCTTCCAGAATTTCCCTGTCCTTTGCTGCATTTGTTTTACTGCCTAACCACACAAGCCCTTCAGGATCTGCTGCCAAGAAGCTTTCCCACATTTAGCCTGATGGACAAAAAGCTCAATTTTGGCCTCATCAGACCAAAGAACGTTCTTCCACTTGACTTCAGAGTCTCATACATGTGTTCTGGCAAACTCTGGTTGAGATTTGTAGAAGCTATTTTAACAGTTTCTTTCTCTTTGCCCCTCTCCCACAAAGCTTTGATGGGTAAAGAACAGGCAACAGTTGCTGCATGTACACTCTCTCCTATCTCAGCCACTGAAACTCATAAGAGTAACAGGTGTCTTGCTTCCCTCACTAGTCTCCTCCTTGCATGGTCACTCAAGGCCATTCAGAATTAAGTGAGTCACTTTGTTCTGCAGGCAGGTGGAATGATAGAAAATGTATTTTTTATATTTTGTTTTTAATTTATTGATGTCACTTTGCAGAAATCTGTTTCTACTGACATGTTTTGTTTTTTTTTTGTAAATTCTTGTCAAAAAAGTCAAATTCAATTGATAATGATCCAATGTTTAAAAACAACAAAAGGTGAAAAATTCCAAGGGAGGTTTTAATTTGCCACTATTTTAATTAACTATCCATTCTTTCCAGTATCTAACAGTCAGAGTCTGTGTCCACAATTATCTGTAACTTTCCAAAACCAGTGATTCAACATTCACATCCTCATTGCTGTGACTAGCCAGCTGCATACTGATGAGAGAAAGGCTGGTCATTGTACTTTGTAGTTGCTGCGGCTGCTCTGATAACAAAGACTTGTCTTGAGGTGTGGTACATGCTGTAGATGGATCCTGGCACTCTTAAGAAACCCCATAATTTTCGTTATTGAAAAATACACAGTTTTTGCATTGCTGGCAAATCAATACATTTCGAGCAACTTATATACGTTTTGAAACATTACTTTATACGTTTCCCTTACTATGTCAGGTGCAAGTTTTGTGAAAAAGCTTTCATCAGTCACAAAGGTGAGGCCTTCAATAAACACTTTTAAAATAAATCATCAAAAGGAACCTGCAGGTAGAGTTTCCTTTAACTTGAAGAATGGTAGAAAAAAACATTTGAATGATCAGTTTCCTTTTAAAAGAAGAATCTTTAAAGTTTTTTTGTTTCTTTCACTGGTCTTGAGAAACTTAAATTAACTGCAGTTAGCTGTAGTAAGGTGAAGAGCTTACCAGAGGTCTTCTATGAACAGTGCCTTGGG